TTGTTTGCTTTTTTGTTTATATTAGTGAGGAGTCTATGTTAGCTGAACTAGGACTGGATAAGAACATGTGCTTCAAAGAAGAAATAAGATACATATCATTTCATGAATGTTTATTGATACTTATGTAATTAAGATGAAATAAAAAATAAACATTTAAAACACAAGTAAAAATTGCATATACTGGACACCCACAGAACACATATTTATGAATACTGCACCTCTTAAACATGAAGTACACACGCAAACATGCTTTTACATCCAACATGCACATACTGTTTAGGATTGTATTTTTCATGTGTTTCATCTTTTTTTTTCTTTTTTGTTTTAGAATTGACAAAATAGACAAGTTTATTTTTGAGAAAATGGTATGCACAAGTTACAGAGCTTTGAAGAGGAGAATGTTGAGTGAGAAACATATTATGGATGTAATTTTTTCCAGCTTGTGCTATTGGGTTATGTACAAGAGACTGATTCTTGTGTAAATATAAAGTGAAACAAATTAAAGAATATTATCTAGCTCCCTTTTGTTGTGATATTAGAATTGATGCTATTTGTAAGTTATAATGAGTCTTAGGTTCAGTAACATGCCATTTTTATGAAAAAGAATAAAAATTGTTGAAAGTGGTTTTGCATGTTATAGATTAGTTTGTATTTGGAGGGTTAAAACTGCATTATGAATATTTTCCTAAAGGTTTTAACTAGCAGGATCTTTTCACTTTCAAGTATTTAGATTTGATATTAAAAATGAAAAAAAATACACTTCAATCATTCAGAATCTCTGGTTAATATTGTAAGACTGCATTTATGACAATGTTGATGAGGAACTGATATAGTATTTTCAGTATTTTTGTAGGCTAGAATGTTCATTTACAGTGGTCCACTATACCTAGGTTTAGTACATATTTTGTTCTTTGTTACTTATGAGTTTTGTACTTGGCCAATAGAAGAATTATTGTGTTAAGCTAATGTGAAAGTTATATTATTTATGTATCATTGTTTTTATGAGTTTAAGAAAAATATATAATGACTTATAAGCTCTTATGACTTTCTTTTTTCAGTAAATATCTCACTTGATATAAGATAATCCAGATGACCATACTAACAAAGTGCTCTGTATATCTTTCATAACACTTTCATTCAGGGAGAAGGTGACGTCCCTGCATGTGGGCTGCACTGCTTCCCTCACTCACCTTTGTTTTTTGTGCAAATTCACAGACATGTTTGAGCCAACTGTATAAGTAGTTGCACTCACAATTGTGCTTACACTAACACACACACCTAAGCTAGAGGATGAACATGAGCACAGTCATTTTGCACAGACAGGCACAAAACACTTGATCAAAGTTGGACGTGCATGTTTACTGCCCAAAAAGTGAAAATGCCTTGTTAGATACCATTGAAATTTTGATACAGCTCCCAATGAAGAATTAGGTATAAATGAATAGGAGATTGGTGATTAAAAATTTATGTTATTGGTTTATTATATACATGCGTCAGTTTCATCTTTATCACTACCAGTTCCTATGTGAGCACAATATATGATTGGTTGGAGATAGCATTATATATATAATATATCATCAAAATAATTTGAACTGCATTATGCCTCTGGGCATTTTCAAAGTTATAAAACTGAATGATGCCTTTGGAATATTTTCAGAGTTCAAATGATTTATACCTTCAGGTATTATCAGTGTTATAAAGTGAATTTTGCCTTTGGTGTTTTCAGGGTTATAAACTGAAACATGCCTTTTGGTATTTTCAGAGTTGTAACTAGCCGTAATACATATTTTTATCTTGAATTTTGGGTTTATTTGTCCTTACATATGGAGGTAAATAAATGCCTGTGCTATAATAATAATATTAATAAAAGGTAGATTCTAGCAGATTAGATGCATTTCTTTTCTTATATCAAAAGATATTTGAAAAGTCTGTACTTTCTGTTAAAATAAATTTTTAAAGATGTTCCTGTAAGCCAGTAAAGGATGAAATCAAACACTATATTCATCTTTCATTTATATTATCTCAAAAATAGGAAAAGTGAGAACAGCGGATGAGACAGGCTTATAACCATATTGACAGAGTTGGGTACATCTACAAAATGACGCTGATATCACAAGTATAGACTCTTGAAGATTCTCGGGGACAAAAATCCTGGGTTGTAAGCAGTGGCTTGCAAGACACTGAATGCTGGGCATGTGAGAAAATACATTGTGTACAGAGGAACAGTTGGTTCTGGATACATGGAACAAAGACGCTTGGTATAAAAGAAATAAATGGTGCTAAGTTCATGGAATAGCATTATTTTTTCTTATAAAACATGGAACAGAGGAGTTTAGTACAGAATGCTAGAAAAGTGTCCACTACAGTGAAAAGAGGTGATAGTACGTTAGACGATGAATGCAAGGTTTGGCTGGACAAAGTGCAAGGAAGATGTTGAATGGGTTTTTATAGAAGCTGCATAGGTTAAAAAAGAAAAATAAACGTAAATAAAAAAGACGAGTAGTATCTAAAGGAGATATTTTGTAAAAAATTATAATCTTATGTGTTCTATATATATGTATTTCATTTTTTTAAAAGGAGTGGGGAGTGGTGGCATACAAAAGCACAGCACACAGAAGACATTAATAACTGAAAAAGGATGAACAAAAGAGTTGAAAATTAAGGCGAGTACATTGTGGTTCAAATTATTCTAAACTTGGAATGCTACATTAGAAAGAGAATATTATACATAAAAAGAAATACAGCTCTATCAACTTCAGGGCTCAGATAGAGGCCTTCTAGTATAATGACATCTTGAATTGTTAACTTTTTTAACGGTCCAGTTGTGAGATCAGTGACATTTTCCATTTATCCAAATTCATGAAAAAATAAGTTACTTTCAATAACCTAGGTGAGTGAGTCCGGGTTTGTTTTGAAATAGCCACAACCCGGCTAGGCAGTATCTGAAAAAACACTTCGTATTTTTTAAAGAGCAAATAACATAACGTGTCTTCTTGACAACAAGAGAATTTTTTTATTCAACATGTAGGCATTAACAATAATATGAACACTTATACACTTAATATAATGACTTTTATGACGCAAAAACAGCAGAAAAATTCAAGTTTCACATCTTATTTATTTTCAGATGATATGATGACATTAAGACACTTGGACCGTTTAAAACGAGAAACAGTATACGCTGTCGGGCAGAATGGCGAGATTCTCAAACAGAACCCTTTTGTTCGCCATTTTCTTTTACACCCAACGAAAAAAGTGGATACAGGCATATTTAGAAAAAACGCCTGCTTAGAAGACATAGCACTAAAATTAAAAGAAAAAATAAAGAAAAGATGGCGGTGATAATTCGTAAAATCTATTAACTTCACCATATTTTATGTCATCAAAACTATGTACAATCAATATCTAGGACAAAAAAATAAATTACAATACTCGCATACACACCCCGCTGATAACAAGCATTTTTCTTCTAAATCATCAGAGGGCATGTACGGAGTATCTCAATCTAGTAGTAATCTATATATTAAACTATAAATCTTAAGATGAGATGGTAACCCACACATACGGCTAGAATAGGTTAAGCTTGACTGGTAACACCCTCAGTTTGTAACACAAACCAACCTCGATGAGCTGTACAGCTGAATAAATATGTATATATATATGTATATATTTTCTATCTTGTATTCACTTTTTGATAAGTTTTCTTCTTTCTGACTTAACCGACCGTCGCTTTACAAAACAGCTTATACTGGTTGGAGTATGTTTGGTCACACCCTCTGTCTTACGACCCGTGTGTGTGTGTGTGTGTGTGTGTGTGTGTGTGTGTGTGTGTGTGTGTGTGTGTGTGTGTGTGTGTGTGTGTGTGTGTGTGTGTGTGTGTGTGTGTGTGTGTGTGTGTGTGTGTGTGTGTGTGTGTGTGTGTGTGTGTGTGTGTGTGTGTGTGTGTGTGTGTGTGTGTGTGTGTGTGTGTGTGTGTGTGTGTGTGTGTGTGTGTATGTGTGTGTGTGTGTGTGTGTATGTGTGTATGTGTATGTGTATGTGTGTGTGTGTGTGTGTGTGTGTGTGTGTGTGTGTGTGTGTGTGTGTGTGTGTGTGTGTGTGTGTGTGTGTGTGTGTGTGTGTGTGTGCGTGCGGTGTGTATTTGTATGTGTGCGCGTGCATGCATGTGTGTGTATGTATGCGTGTATGTGTATATTTATCAATATACATATATATATTCATACGTATGAATATATATATATATATATATATATATATATATATATATATATATATATATATATATATATATATATATATATATATATATATATATATATATATATATATATATATATATATATATATATATATATATATATATATATATATATATATATATATATATATATATATATATATATATATATATATATATATATATATAGTATGAATATATATATATATATATATATATATATAATATATATATATATATATATATATATATATATATATATATATATTCACATACACATGCATGCATGTATGTATTTTATATTTCTTTTGTGTATATCGATCCCAACGGACATCGAATGTGTGGGTGTAAAGAAATAAGCATTTGCAATCCGAATGCTTTACAGCGGGTCGTTGCAGTGAGACCTGAGCACAGCAATCGTCAAGGGAGAGAGAGGAAGCAGGCAAAAACCACCTCTTGTGATTAAAAATCCACCTGCATGACTTTCGATCATTTTAAAAATTCAAAACAGCACCATTTCGATTGTTCAGAGCAATTTTATTTGTAAAATACCTGTGCGTATTTCATTTCTAAAAGGTTAGCCGAATCATTAGCATCACCTTGGAAAACAATTGGTAAAAAAACATATGGATTAGATTTTTCTTCCTTTTTTACTTTAACTTCACAGGTCCGACTTTGGCAGACGATATGTAAGTTTGACATCCCATCTGCTCTCCCCAGGCCATTGCTACAGACATATTTGGGCGGCGATATATAAACGATTTTCAAGAGAGACCAAACGACTTATCAATAAACTTGTCATGGACTACAGACCAGCATTAGTGTGGCGGCGAACTTATAAAAAATATATCAGAAGAAACTTATCTTAAACATATAAAAATAAAATACAGGGAGGGGAAGGAATAAACATAGAGATGGAGAGAATGGGAGAGAGAAGTAAAATACTCTCAGGTCATCTGAACATGTGTGTGGCTATGTGAACAATTCCCGGTGAACATCTAGATCCTACCACATACATAAATCAGGCAAAAACCAAATGGATTGTCCGTTTAAACAATTATACAACGAGACATTGTATGGGACACCAATATCTTTGGAATTCCATAGTCACTTTGAGAAAATCATTATCTTTTTTTCTTCTTTGGAGATAACAGATAGGTATTCTTTTCCAACAGTATTTATGGTATTGCTGGGTATATATATAATAGCTTTTTCTCTCATACGTTGCAAAACTTTATGGTTATCTCTCACTGTTGCAATATGGATACTTATGTTTGGAGTGAACGCAATGTTCAAACAGGATCCCACCCAAAGACTCCCTTGGGCGCCCACACGTGTAAATTTGTTGACCATACACCTAAGGCGTGAGGGCGGCCAGGGGAGGAACCTTCCAGACGAAACAGGGCTGGCTAAGTCTTTCGGGGAGGGGAGGGGGAGGGGAGGGGGGTCAAAAGGGAGGGAGGGGGCGGCCTGGAAAGACATCTATCCACAACGACGGAGTTGGGACTGCAGGAGGCCAAGAGGAAGGTCGTCCTCCACCTTTTTTGCTGGTTTGGCGAGGGCTGCGGGGCCAAAGGGAAGTGGAGGGGGAGAGGAGGCTGGGGAAGGGTGGAAGGGGAGGGACAATGTGGGGAGGGTAGTGCACGTGGGGGATGGGGGGGGGGCAGAAACCAGGAGAAGCACTTCCCAGTTCAGTGCTGATCCCGTGAGGTTGGTTGGATTCAGTGGACGTCAGTTACATTGAAAAAATGTGAACACTGAATATATGACACGAAATGACATATAATACTGACTAAAACATAAAAGGCAAAACAGTGACCAGACAACGTTAAAATTGGGACACAATATAGGCTTGAAGCCATGGCAATAATAGTCTCGTCAGCAGAGTTACAGACGGGCGCCGCGTATAGGCTACAGGTACTTAAAACTTCCACAGGAAAAATTAGTTCTAGCAGCACATTGGGGGACTTCGAACCCTTCTATGTAACTCCCAGCTAGACCAAAAAAGCGTTAGTAGGTCAATTACTCCATAGTATTATCACCGGGCCAATACACAGTCAACGGAGACAAAAAATAAGATTCAAAACACGGATTCTGGAACAGGTGCCCCTTTTGTAGGAGGAATCGCATCCTTTTTCCAGGGGATCGGCGCGCTTCGGACAAAAGAAGCGCGCGTCCCGAAGGAGGAAGTGGTAACGAGAAGGGCCCAAGGAACATTATTGCAAACAATCGTCTCTTTTTTTTGCACTTATTCTTGGCCAATGTTTGTTTTGAGTTCCACAGCACCATCGAGTACGTATTGGATTAAGAATTCTAAATAGAAATTCAGAAGACGAGATCTTCTTTGGCATCATTGCGTTCAAATAGGCTTTCCTTTTTTGAGAAGGGAGGGAGGGGGTGCGATTCTGTATCACAGAGTAAAAACCTCCTGACATAAATGGGAGAATCAGCATAGCCGACAAGTTTGTGGAGATCTCTTACGTAGAGCCTAAGTGATACAGAATTCATGCTTGAGTGGTTTTCGCTCTTGGGTGATGCTGGCGAAGAGAGTTCCTTGGACCAATTCTGGTTCCCGGTTCTGCGACATTGGGATTCAAGGAGCCCAAATTATAAGAGTATTTATGTACAGGGTTTTGTACAATTACCTATGCACAAGGTAAGGCCGAAAATATTGTATTTCAGACTATTCTAAGTTGACTTAAAAGTAATTACAAAAATACGGAATCAAGCTTTACTGAGCTCAAAGTATAAACAATATTCTCATTACTCATCCTTCAAATCTTTTTTTTCCAGTAAATCACAGAATGACTAGTTTGTCAAGGGCGTCCCACCGAACTGACAAGTCTCATATCATGCACACCAGAGCTTTCATACTCTCATGCCGACAAGGCCGAACAAACCGCCAAGGGCCTTTCTTCTTATACCGATTGTTGAAAATATAATGCATTCATACTCTCAATAAAATCTGTAAATATGAAGTGTGTCTGCACGTACGCTGCCCCTTCGTCACGTGACAACTACAATGCACTCTTACTTTTGTTTTTATTCTGTGGGCATGACTCCGCGGGGGAGTGTACAGCAGCCTCCTGCATGGGGTATGTTTACATGAGGAGCGTGGCCATTGAACAGCAGGCCTGGCTGGGCGTGGGCAGTGGGCAGCGTTGACGCGGGCGGGAAGGTAACACGGGAATCTGGCGTCGTCGCCCTCTGCTTCTCCGGCAGGCCCGTGGCCACGTCAGCTCGACCAATGGGTCCCAGCTTCGTCAGGAGCCAAGCTCACAACACGACTTCGAGACGAAGATCGTTGAGCCTAATGGTTTTACAATCTTGAGACGTTTTTTCGTTCTCTCGCCGATTCAGAAGGGAAGGCTGGACACGAACATGTTCTCTATCAGCTGGGGCGCCGGGACCAGGTCCTCCAGCTTCAGGTAGAAGATCCTCTGCAGGCCCTGCACGGACAGCGACCGGAGCTCCGGCAACTTCCCCAAGATGCGGGAGAAGTAGTGAGGCTTCTTCTGGGCGTCGGCGTTGTAGGTCACGTGGTCTCTCAGCGAACTGATGATCTTCATCTGCAATTGCTCCACCTTTTTGGTGTCCTTGAGGCCGTGGCGCTCTGTAAGGCAAGCGGACAAGGGCATTACTCTCACGCCGCTCCCTGCGGGCCCAGTCACGCGGGTGCATGCTGAGCCCGACACTATGTGCACGGGGATAATCGAATTCTCTCTCTCTCTCTCTCTCTCTCTCTCTCTCTCTCTCTCTCTCTCTCTCTCTATTATATAATATATATATATATATATATATATATAATATATATATATATATATATATAAATGTATGCACAATAAGAGAAAATCTCACACACACACACTCACATAGCCTTCCTCCTCACCTGTAATGATCGTCAGAGCGGAGAGGCAAGCAAATGCTGAAATATCCAATTCCATCGATTTTAGCGATGCTGAGAAATCCAAGATGCCTTGTAGCCACTCGCCGAAGGACCACTCACACTGGGACCTGTGCAACACTCGGCCGCTGTCGAAGACGAATTTCGTGTCCTCGGGGTTGTTCCTGAAGAAAGAAACAAACGAAAGGGTTTCAATAGGCTGCACGAACACTGTGTACGCAAATTGTGTTGGAACGACGCCGGTGAGGGATTGTGATAATTATGGCGATGGTCAAATTGATACGATTATTAGTATTATCATGATAGAGAGCAATCGCGATATAATACATATGTACCTATGTCTTATATATAAATGAAACTAAAATTACAGTGACACAGAGACTAGGTAATATGCAGGTGTAGATTAATTACACATGTAGTGCATATGCCTTGATGCAGTTCTAACAGATATTTACTTCCGAAGTGATAATTCTTATTGATAGCTGTGGGAAGGTCTTGTTAAGTCTCGGTCTACTTACATGAGTCTGTAGGCTACTCTTAAGACAAAGAGCTCGAGGGAGGCTGACTGGAAGAGGAGGTCTTGGTCTTCGCGGGCGAGGTCGTGGTAGCCGGGGATCTTCTCGGCGAAGTGGCGGATGACTTCGATGCTTGAGGTGAGGAGGTTGTAGAAGAGCTGGATGCGCTCGGCCTCCGTGGTCGGGGAGTCGCCGCCGCTGGAGGGCTCGCGGTATTGCGAGTAGTCGAGGTTGGACACGTCCGGGGTGGTGTCCACGTGCGCCCGCACCAGCGCCGTGATCAGGGACACGGGCGGGGAGGGCGGGGACTCCTGGGGACTTTTGGGCTTGCTGGGCAGGCGCCCTCGGCGGCCCTTCAGGCTGTCGGTCCTCACCACCTCCTTGACCATGCCCACCACCAAACACTTTTGGAAACGACAGAACTGACATCGGTTGCGGCGCCGCTTGTCGACGGGGCAGTTTTTGTCGGCGAGACAGACGTACTTGGCGTTTTTCTGGACGGTTCGCTTGAAGAAGCCTTTGCAACCCTCGCAGGTACGAACGCCATAGTGCTGACAGGCAGCCGTGTCACCACAGACGGCGCACAGCTGTGATGGCGACTGTGGCTTTTGATCGGAGGCGGGGCGCCCGGACGCCATGGGGGGCAGGTGCGAGCGCATCAGCGAGGGGTCCATGTGCTCCCCTGCCCCCTTGCGGCTCAGGAAGGGCATGGGGGGCGTGCTCGAGGTGGAGGCGCCGCCCATCTCCGGGTAGTGGTGGGACGTGGAGGGACGCATGTACTGGTCTGGATGGAGGGGCTGGAGAGCGTCGTAGGTGGGGGCGCTGGGGTAGAAGTCGCCGCTGAACGTCTTGGCGGGGCCGGAGTAGCCGTGTGTGACGGGAACGGAAGGACTGGGGTAGGGCGCGGGCCGGGCGTACACCTGGGGTGAATGGGCGTAGGCCTCGAAGGGGCCTGTGCTCTGTTGCTGCTGCTGCTGTTGTTGTTGCTGCTGCTGCTGTTGTTGCTGCTGCTGTGTGTTCAACTGGGCTTGCTGCTGTAGCTGTTGCTGCTGCTGGTGCTGCGGGGAAGCCTGAGGGAAAGCCTGGTGCGCCGGCGGGGGCTGCGGGTACTCCACGGGCCGCCCGTTGTCGGTCTTGAAGGTGAACACATCAGCGTCCAGCGGTCTGTACCGCGGAGAGTAAGTTTCCTGGAAGCTTGGCAGAGCTGCAGCCGCGGCCGCTGCGGACGAGGCTGCGGTGACTGCGGTGTGACCTGGCGATCCGGGAGGGGGCGTCCCCGAAGACGGGTGGCTGATGACGGGCTTGAGGTCCTCGAGGGGGGCGGCCGCCAGCAGGTAGTCGGTCTGGAAGACATCGGTGAAGGAGGCTTCACTGCCGCCCTCGCCGTAGCTCGGCGCCGGCGTGGCTGTGAACGCTGAGCTTATCTTGAACTCCTCGCTGGTGGTTCCGCTGAGGGAGTCATCTCCGAAGGTGGACGCCAGACCGTAGGACGCCGACAGGGCTTCAGCCACGCTCGGGTGGAGAAGGGATTGCTGCGGGAGAAGAAAGGCCGGTTAGTGCGCTCACTCGAACGGCTGCAGCCACACAGACACGCTCACGCATACACACACACTCACACACACATATGTCCGAACAGATCATGCTCCAGCATGCACATACATCGACAAAGAAGAGAAGAGGGTGCGAACAAGAGAGCAGACACGAGCAGACTAACAGCGGCAGCAGCAGCAGCAGCAGTAGCAGCAGCATCTGCCATGCAGTGTGCGGTTGCGGCATGAGATAACCACAGCGACCACGAGCGTAACGCGGCGCTACCGGTGGTGTCCAGCTACACTGTGCCGCAGGGCAGTGGGTGCTGGCGGGTGCGTACCGGCTCTGGCGACGGTGCGGCGGCGCTCAGCCCGGCGCGCCCCTCGGAGTCGAGGCTGGCGGGCGGGGCCCCGGGCGGCGCGGGCGACTCGGCGGCCAGCAGCACGGGCGTGACGGAGAGCGGCGTGGCGCCCGGCGAGGCCGAGGAGGCGGGCAGCGCCGAGACCACGACGAGCGCTTGCGTGGTCGCGATGCTCAGGTTGACGGGCAGGAGCGTCGCGAGCGTGGGCGGGGGTGAGGGCGTCCTGCTGGGCGGCTTGTCCTCCATGTCGTGGGTGTTGTGGGCGCGGAGCTCGTATTCTCGCCCCATCAGTGCGGGCGTGGGCGTGGGCGGACACAGCCACGACAGTGCCAGCGGGGGGGCGCCAGCGGGGACGGCGGGGCACCACACAACCACACAGTCCTCGGCGCCCTCAATCTTGGCTTCACTGTTAACTGCTCGATCAACACTCTGTGGCGCCGCACTTCAAAAGGGTATGAGACAGGGGGTGTTGGAAAGGCAGTTTTTAATATGTCTTCTTTTCACTTTGTGTTTCGAAAGGATAAACCTCAAGTGCAAAAGTGACTTTTGTGGGGGAGGATTAAGAACTTTGCTTTGATCTTTTTCTCTTCAAAACTCTTCTAAATTAGATCTATGTAAGTATATTTCTCACATTATTTCCAAAAATAAGTACATCGAAAAAATAAAGTAGACAAGCTTTCTATAGTGACAATGTTGGTGCCGTCGAAGTGGCTGCAGGCCGGCTACTGCTGCTACGTGGTGCCACGGCACTCACTCGGTGGCGGGCCATGCGGGCTCGCGGCCCCCTACGCCCTGGCACTCTCTCTCTCGCTCCTCCTCTCATTCTCTGGTTCTGTTTTTCACTCTTTATTCTCCTTCTCCGTCTCTCTCTCTCTCTCTCGCCCACTTCCTCTCTCCCTTTCTATCTCGCCCACTTCCTCTCTCCCTTTCTCTCTCTCTCTCTCTGCCTCTCCCTCGTTCTTTCTTTCAAGTCATTCTCTCCTATCCTTCTCATTTTCATCTGTTCTCTTCTCTCGCTCTTTCTATTTTACAACTTTCTCTCGTTCTCAATGTTTCCCTGACGCTATTTGTTTGATTCTCTCTTTTCCCTTCCTCCCTCTGTCTTGCTTGCTTACTTTCTCTCTCTCTCCCTCTCCCTCTCCCCTCTCTCTCTCTCTCCTCTCTCTCTCTCTCTCTCTCTCTCTCTCTCTCTCTCTCTCTCTCTCTCTCTCTCACACACACACACACACATGCACACACACGCACACACACACACACACACACGCACACACACACACACACACACACACACACACACACACACACACACACACACACACACACACACACACACACACACACACACACATGCAAGATAGGGTTACCATGCAAGAAAATGGAGAGAGGATGAGACAAAAAAAAGTGTGATATAACGAAATGAACGAAAGATAAAATACCAATTAAATAAGAACAACAACAACAGCGACAACGAAAAAAACAATCTTGCTATTACAAAATAAAAAATATAAATGGAGAGTGATGAGGATGGAAAGAAACAGTAAAGTCGGGAGTAAATTTATGAGGAAAACGAGCAAAACGAGATTGTTTTCCGCACACACACACACACACACACACACACACACACACATACACCTGGAGTTAGCAAGGGTGTAGCCGGGGAGGGGGGGTAATGGGGGCAAAGGAACCAAGCAGGTGCTTCTGTGTGTGTGTGTGTGTGTGTGTGTGTTGTGTGTGTGTGTGTGTGTGTGGTGTGTGTGTGTGTGTGTGTGTGTGTGTGTGTGTGTGTGTGTGTGTGTGTGTGTGTGTGTGTGTGTGCCTGTGCCCATGTGCGCGCGTGCGTGCGTGCAAGTGTATCTGTATGTCAGATCAAATTCATTCTGTCGACACCTGTTCCTTCGCCCCCTTCATATACAGATTCCTCCATCAAAAAATTAAATTTACAAGAAACAAATAAAAACCAAAAACAAGAACAGTTCGACCACTAGAAATTCAAACTAATAATGAACAAAATAGAATGGTTTTGCTTCCCATCCTCAGAGAAAACGGGGAATCCCCGGCCCGGCCCCACACCCATGGCAGAGTGCTTGTAGGCAAAAGCGTGCATGGTTAGAGATAAATCATAGCCAGAAATTAATCTAAGGGATAAAATCAGGCAAATGTGTGGAGAAATAATCAATGGTGTGGTGATTTCTTTGTGATAACTGATTTATAAAAAAGGAGAAGAAATAATGATACTTTTTAATATTTTCTTTTTTTCTTTCTTATTACTTATGTACGTAATTATCGTTCATTTAGGTTATCTACTTATTTTGTAAGTGAATTAGTAAGTAGAAGAGCATATTTTTATTTGAATGCATCTTGGGTGAAGAGAGACGACGGTAAATCATACATGTTTTATGTATACACACATAAATGCATGTGTGTGTGTGTGTGTGTGTGTGTGTGTGTGTGTGTGTGTGTGTGTGTGTGTGTGTGTGTGTGTGTGTGTGTGTGTGTGTGTGTGTGTTCTACCTACATCTACCTATCATATCTCCCCAGCAACATTTGCTAAAATACTGCCAAGTCTAAACAGCAGTAGTTCCGCGTCTGCGCAGAATCCCGAGTGAGAAATCGTCGCCGTCGCCCGAGGGGGGGAGAGAGAAGGGGAGAGGGGAGAGGAGGAGGGGGGGAGGAGGGAAGGGGGAGAAGGAAGGGGAGGGGAGAGGCAGGGGGGGCATGGACCATGAGTGACCTCTCGCGTCTCAAAAAGAAAAAAAACATGGACGCTATTAAAAGGCTTCAGATATTAATTTTGATCAATGATTTGCAAAGGAAAGTCTATAAGCATTGTTCTGTCGACCCGCGTAGGGGTAAAAGGACTCGGGGGCGGAGGGGGGGCATGGAGGGACGCAGGGAGGAAGGGGGAAGAGAGGGAGAAGAGGAAGAAATAGAAGAAAGAGAAGGGAGGGAAATGAAGAGGAGGGAAGAGGATGAGAATAAATAAGGAAAAGAGGGTGAGAGGCAAGGAAGGGAAGAGTGCGACGAAGAAGAGGCTGCGGCAGGGGGGGGAAGGGAGGGAGCGGGGAAGGGGAGGGGGGGAGGCAGGACAGCCGCGCCCGCCGCCGTGCCCCCGCGCCGCCCCGAAAGCCACCGCCCGCACCTGCGCCGCCCGAGCGACCAAGCGGGTCTCGGGCGCTCGGAGGCGTGGATGTCCAGCTGAGGGAGTCGTGCGAGACGGCGAGCGAGACGGCGAGCGAGACGCGCGGCGGAGGCGGCTGGAGGCGCCCGCCACGACGGCCGAACGGAGTGGAACGCGCGAAGGATTCTGGAAAGGACGGCGGCCGACGGTGGAGCGAGGGAATGAGAAAGAGGGAGAGAGTGAGGAGAAGGAGGGAGGGGGAGAGGAGAGAGAGGAGAGAGAGGGGGGGAGAGGGAGAAGAGAGAGGGGGAGAGGAGGAGAGAGAGAGAGGAGAGAGAGAGAGAGAGAGAGAGAGGAGAGGGGGGGGAGGAGGAGAGGGGGAGAGAGGAGAGAGAGAGAGAGAGAGGGGAGAAGAGAGAGGAGGAGAGGAGAGAAGAGAGAGAAGAGAGAGAGAGAGAAGAGAGAGAGAGAGAGAGAGAGAGAGAGAGAGAGAGAGAGAGAGAGAGAGAGGAGAGAGAGGAGAGAGAGAGAGAGGAGGGGGGGAGGCGAGGGGTAGACGCAGCCACAGAGAGTGACCCCAGATGACCCCTCGCGATAAGCTAAGGCTACTCATTACTGATCAAACGAGATAGCGACATCGGGGCAAAAAAGACTGACCTCCTTTACGCTACGGTTTCATTTTACTCCTTTACAAAGATGTTTCGGACAATTAATTTGTTTTGGGCCCGACGCGTGTGAGGGCTGGAGGCTCGTCTCGGAAGAAATCATTTTCAGAAACTTATTTTTGGTCAAACTACGATAATCATCTATATATTCGAACATTCATATATATATATATATATATATATATATATATATATATATATATATATATATATATATATATATATTTGTATGTATCCATCGGGTATACATACGTCAGAGGAGGCAGACACAGCCTGAATAAACACAGCGCCTCGCCTGCCAAACATAAAATGAAATCTAGCAAGGCTAATCTCAGTTTGTTGTGGGTTGTCACTTTCATTGACACAGTACCCTCGCGACCACACCCTGTGCATGCTGCTGCCTCCGACTGCCGGACTCTGCCCAAGGTCTAGCGAGAAAGGCGGTGGCGGCGGATGAAGGCAGGGCCGCCGCTCTCCTCCCTTCCCCTTCCCCTTGCCCACCTCTCTTCTCCTTTCCCCCTCCCCTTGCCCGCCTCTCTTCTCCTTTCCCCTTCCCCTTGCCAGCCTCCCTTCTCCCTTCCTTCTCCTCTAGCCCCCCTTGCCTACCTTCACCTCTTCTTTCTTAAATTCCTGTCCTCCTGTTCCTTTCCCTCCGTCCCCTTCCATTCCCCACCTCCCCTTTTCCCTTACTATGTGCACCCTTCCCCTTGCCCCTCTCCGTGTGCCCTCTCGTCCCTTCCCCTCCCCCCTCTGAGCTCCCTTCCCCCCTCCTGAAGGTCTGAAAGTGTGAAATTGTGTCTGAATTTACTCGTCGTCATCAGTTCACTCGAGCCTATGCCCTGGTGTGCGACTGAAGGCCATTCCACGCAAGAATGCCCCCGTATTTTTTGTCTCTGTTTTAACTGCTATTTATCATTTTTTATTTTATAATCGCGGCTGATCTATAAAATGTTAGTTATAAAAATATCCATGTTAATAAAATTCTCCGTTTATGCTAAATGTCAGCAAACATTAGATGACTGAATTTTGAGAGAGAGAGAAGAAGAGGACGAAAAAAATAAAGTGAAATTTAATTGGACTGTTTATCCGAAACCATGACGTCAGGCTGTGACGTCATAGAGATGCTTACCTGTGGTTGGAGGACGAGCATGTTATGGGCGTGGCTATGCGGCGGGGTGAAAGAGGACGGGGGGGCAGCGGGGGTCTCGTCGGGGGCAAGAGGGGACTCCTGAGTAACGTCCACGCCTGGAATACCAAGAGAGGATTATGGAATCTGCCGTTACCTGGGAATTGTTTTTTCGACAGAAGTCATTCCCCTCAGCGGGAATGAGTGCAATCTCCTTTATCAGGAGGAATGGTTCATTTTTTTCTATTAGGAGAATTGACTCAAGAGGGGCATTCCTATGCCTGTATGCACTACTGCATGGAGGTCAGAGCATCTGGAAATGAGACGGTTAAAAGTGTACACATAAAATCATAGTAAGGCACTCTGACTCGGTTTTCATTCACTCAATGAACAAAAAATAGTAAATTCAAGGGATTTCTCTCCACGTTCCACGCAAAGAGGCCGACGGCGCAATTAGGCGCTTAAATGAGATTATCACACTTTTCATTCACCGGTTCAACTATGACGTCACACGTAGAAAGAACCGTACAAGAGAGAGAAGTGGGGAGAAAGGCGGGGTGGGGGTGGTGGGGGTTAATGGGCGTTCCAAACGTCTTGCAAGTTGCAGGAACCTCTTGAAGACTCACCCAGGAGGTCCCAGAGGAGGCGCTCAACCTCCAGGTCCAAAAGACAAGGTGATGGCTGGGTGGCGAGCATGGTCACTTGGTCGTCACAACACTCTCTCACTAACTCGACTACCTGTAACTTGTCGTCACAGATGTCATGACGTCCTTATCGTTACGTCATTATCGTATGAATGACGTTGACAGATAAGAAGAAATCTCAAGATAACCTTATCGGGCTCCAGGGATGAAAAAAAAGCAAGACGGAAGTGGAACTCACTCCAAGGATACAGGAAGGCTTCTCATGGCAACGTGATATTAGCGCTCCTTCTGGTTCAGGAAAATTTGAAATAAAACTTTAAACGTTACAACAATATTCGCGGTTTGTTCTATACATATTCCTAATGGTTCTTACACTCCCTAAACTAATAGCTCTTTCCTGTATTATCTGAGAACGGTTACTACCCCAGAACTCGACCTATGACCGTGTTTATCAGTGTGTGAAGGCGTAAGACTTCTTATCGAAATATATCTTTCAAGATAACTGACGGCTCCTTATCCATTATTACATTCACCTTCAGTTCACGTTATCTGTGTCTTATCCTAAACTTGGCACCCACTCAACTCGGTGACATCATGGCGCTTAGTGACAGAATAGTGCCGCTCTTGCTCCCTAGTTTAATCCTGAACCTTTCTCGATTCCTGGTCAACGTTCCTAGTGGATTCCCGATTCCCGATGAACGCTCTTGGGGGTATTCTCGTTCTGACTAACATTCCCGATTCCCACTTCGGTGACATTCCTGATTCCCACTTCTCGCACCGGTATTCCCGAATTCGGAGATAAACAGTGCCATTTTCCCATTCCCGTTTAACCAAGTTCAGTTTTTGCCTCAAATTATCTACACATACAAGGGCACACGTGTAAGCTTATCAGAACACGACTAAAATACCCAATTCAACAGGGACACGAGAGAGAACATCCATAAAAGTAAAGCTACAGTATAAAACAAACAAACGAGAGACGTTGGCCATTTTTTCCTTTGAATCTCACAAGTGTGCCAAAAATTAGGTCCCATCAAAATCTTATTATGGCCTATAATTATCACATTTGCCGCGGTTTTTCATAAATCAGAGATGGATTTAAGGGAGTGATAAGCTGTGATAGCATAATTTTTAGCACATTTTTTGGGGGGTTAGTGGAATTCAGAGAGAAGTTTTTTTTTATGCGAGAGAAATGCACTAATTCAAATATGGCGAGGATTATCCATAGGATTTTCACGCTCAGTTACTTTGGATCTGGATTTCATAATTCCTGTTTTTTGTCTTTTCCTTCTTTTTTCCCTCTCCCTCCTTCCCCTCCCTCCCTCTCCCTCTCTCATCCACTTTCTGCTATCTCATGCATTCTCTATTGTAATCCCTCTCTCTCTACCTCAATTATGCCCTTGCAATTCTCTGTCTTTCTATCAGATTCTCTATCCTTGCTCTCTCTCTCTCTCTCTCCCTCTCTTTCTTTCGTTCAGTTTCTCTATCCTTGTCTATCTCTCTCTCTTTCTCTTCGTCTCATAACGGCCACAGCACAAGGGGGCCTGGGGCGCGTCCGTGCAAAGGCCTGTGCTGTGGAGGGGAGATGCACTCGCTCACTTACCCTGGACGTTCATCGCAAGGAGCGGGTTGTACTGCCCCAGGTGGAAGGGCACGCACGGAATCATGGGGGCGACGGGGGGGGGGGGGGTGCCACGGGGAAAATAAGTCTGTACACTTCGCGGTAACACGACACGGATCTACGGTTTCGCGAGTCTTTCTTTCTTTCTTTTGGTTATTTCATGGTCGACTGTGTTATTTCCCGGTTGTGAAGGGTGGTTAATTAGCAGGCTTGGTGACAGGAGGGTATTGGGGCGAGGACGCTGAGCCGGACCAACACCTGTCTGCCTAGACGCAGCTGGGTTACACCTGGGGGGCTGAACGGCCGCTGTGGAGTCGTAGAGGCATCCGTTCCCCTGGCCTGCGAGGTGACATGTGAAGGTCGCGCCGTCACAAGGGAGCACAATCAGCGATAAACAGCAGCGAATCGAGCGCCGACGAAGGGCGCCGAGGAGGACGATCCCGCTGGAGAGGCGCCGACGGGCCGCTCGCGTTTCGGAGGCGTCGGGGCCTCGGGGCGCTGAGTTATCCCGCAGGAGGTTTCGGACCACGCACTGCCGCCGCCGACGCCCAGCACCGTGTGAGGCACTTCGGTCTCCCTCCCCGTATAAAAGGTGACGCCAGCACCCTTGGGACCAAAGCATAAATTTGCTGGCATTTCGCGGCTGCTTGTTTTAATTTGTTGACGAGATATTAGTGAAGCAGTTTTGTTGTGCGGCGGCGGCGGCTCCATTGTTCCCGGGCATCGCGCGCGACCGAGCCGTCTCGCAACTCTAGGGGAAGTTCCTCCGAGTTTCGGACGCGAAGCCAAAGGGAATGAGAGAGAGCGAAGAGAGAGAGACAGGCAGATAGATAGATAGATAGAGAGAGAGAATGGCTAATATTTTATCATTTCAGATCCTTCTCTGTAATTATGCAAATTATTCTATATCATGTCACAAATTTATCCATTACTTTATCCCTCCTAAAAAGCCATTCAGCCATCGCTCTCAGCCGACAAAAGCGTCCGCCTGAATGCGTACGAATCCACGAACGGTCCAAATTCCTTCCGTAGCGCCGAAGAACAACTTTCAACAACGAAGCGGAACTCCAGCGCCGAGAGAGGCCCGCGGATCTCGTCCTTCCGAGCATGGCGCCGTTCCCTCCTGTCCCGAGGCAACCGAAATGAGCGAAAGTAGAAGGAACGGCGCTAACCGGTTGGGTCGCGCCGGGCCGTAGGGAATACCCTTCGAATCAGGCCCGTTCTGCGTCGACTCTCACAGCCCCGTTCGCGCAAGTGTTGTGGATCGCTAAATCATTTCCTTTGTATTTTAGACATTCTAGACTATATTCGCTGTCGAATAAGCTTTATATATACACGAAGCTATTCCACGAGACTGAATAAAATAGCGAACGGAGTGAAATAGGAGGTAGAAAACAGAGCGTAATAAGGAAACGAAAGGGCACGCGTTCGCCATAGCGGGGTTGCGTCGTGATCATATCGTCTATTGAAGGATTATTGTGTCTATTGTTATGGGTGTCGCTACCCTGTTGACTCAGCACAATAATGCCAGCGACATTTATGCGATGGAGGGAAGCGACGGCCCCTCAATTTACGCCGAAATGAGAGTAGTAATTCTGTGGCCTCGGCTTTTCACTTATAAGCTACTTATAAAGTGTCGAGGAGAAATAACTTTTGGGTTAGCTTGTCAGGCGAAGTTGATATCTTAATCTTGGTCGTGTGATCTCTCAAACAAGCAGACATGTGTTTGAATGCCCACAGGTTGATCACATTTTTTATATACAAGTGTTTCAGTAAGCAAGTGTTAGTGTTATCTCGCAGAACATTTTTCATGTATCTTTTGTCTGTCGGCTGTCCCTAAATTAACATTATTTTCTCAAAATAAAATAAAGAGTTATGCCATTCACTTAACAGAGCCACTTGTAACATTACTATAGGTCTCTGGCGGCTCCGCTTATAAAGGCTGGCGAAACATATTGTTAACTTTAAACATACAAATACATACATATATATATATATATATATACCATATACACACATTTGTATATACAACACACATTAATGTATACATACATGCATACACACACACACACACACACACACACACACACACACACACACACACACACACACACACACACACCACACACACACACACACACACACACACACACACACACACACACATATATATATATATATATATATATATATATATATGTATATAATATATATACATATATATATTCTCTCTCTCTCTCTCTCTCTCTCTCTCTCTCTCTCTCTCTCTCTCTCTCTCTCTCTCTCTATATATATATATATATATATATATATATATATATATATATATATATTATATATATACATACATACATACATACATACATACATACATATATATAATATATATATATATACATACATACATACATACATACATACATACATACATACACACACACACACACACAACACACACACACACACACACACACATATAATATATATATATATATATATATATATATATATATTATATATATATATATATATATATATATATGTGTGTGTGTGTGTGTGTGTGTGTGTGTGTGTGTGTGTGTGTGTGTGTGTGTGTGTGTGTGTGTTTGTATGTATGCATATATGTATATTTGTATATATATGTATATACACACACACATATATATTTAGTACAGGTGTGTGATCACCGTAATCTTGACTACGTGAGCTGATAAAGACGTCACCTTATAACAAATGTAGAAATGTTATCCTATGGTAATAGTAAGATCACGATGTCCGTAATAAATTACTTCTAAATAATAAACAAAGTTACATAATCAGTACATCAATAAGATGCAAATAATACCGATTAAGA